ATCCCCTCATCCAGATCATTGATAAAGATATTGAGCAGAACTGGCCCCAATACTGAGCCCTGGGGAACACCACTTGTGACCGGACACCAACTGGGTTTAACTCCATTCACCACAACTCTTTGGGCCCAGCCATCCAGACAGTTTTTTACCTATCGAAGCATACATCTGTCCAAGCCATTAGCTTCTATGTACCTTGATTCCCTCTTCTTCCTGGCGAATGTGAGCAGCAACTCTAATGCATTAACAGAGGTTAAAATGATAAAGAAGGTTGTCTTACAGCACAAGAAGCAGGCCCTTGTGAAGGACAGTGTGTCTGTCAAGGTACTTTGGGGAAAAAATAGCAAGGGCAGCAGTTTGGGCATTTAGGAATCTGCATGTCCATAGTAGTTTGCAGAGTTTATTTTGGGGAAAAGACCTATTGGTAACAGCACAAAAGCATTTTGACTGTTGGGTGTCCTATACAGCTGCTAGCTGTAGTAAACAGTCCTGGTTTATTAGGTTTGGTTTTGCATGAGCACTCTAGAGCTGTGCTTTGCAGACTTCTGTGCCCACACTTCATTTTTGGCGGCAAGGAAAGCTTTCTGTGTAACCACAGCATGTGAATGCCACTGCTTTGTACCTCACATGCTGCTTGTAGTACCCTATCAGTGAGGCTGAAGAACCACAAAACCTGTGGGGCCTTCCAGTTGTAATAATCTAGTTTTATACAGTTGACATGAGAAGGAAAGCAGAATCTGAATAGCCTTCTTGACTCCTTTTCTGCTTTCTTCGTTCTGTCTGCCCCACTGGTATTTCATAATCTGTTGTTTCTGGATCGCTAGCAGTCTGTAAGACAGCACAACGTGATCTGTGAAATGTTTGCAAGATACTAAGTCAAATCCCTTCTGCACATGTTCCCACACATGCAGGCAAGCAAACAGCCTGGAGGGAGTAAAGAAGAGGGCGGCCAACTTTTTAGCAGGGCCTGTTGCGACAGGACAAGGGGGAATGGCTTTAAACTAGAGGGGGGTAGATTTAGACTAGATATAAGGGAGAAATTTTTTACGCTGAGGGTGGTGAAAGACTGGAACAGGTTGCCCAGAGAGGTGGTGGATGCCCCATCCCTGGAAACATTCAAGGCCAGGTTGGACGGGGCTCTGAGCAACCTGATGTAGTTGAAGATGTCCCTGCCCACGGCAGGGGGGTTGGACTAGATGACCTTTAGAGGTCCCTTCCAACCCAGCAAACAGCCTGGAGGGAGTAAAGAAGAGGGCGGCCAACTTTTTAGCAGGCTGTTGCGACAGGACAAGGGGGAATGGCTTTAAACTAGAGGGGGGTAGATTTAGACTAGAGA